CTGGTTTGATTGGATTGGGCGGGGGCCTGGGACTCTGATTGGATCGGATTGGATTGGATTGGGCTGGGGACTCTTACATTTACCAGACGATTCTGAGGGGGTGGCCACGGTCATTGAGGAGAATCAATAAGCGAAGGGCTGCATCCAATGACCTCAGCCACCTGGACCAGTTCTGTCACTGGGGATTCCAAAATGGCGGTTTCTCTCATCTCTCCATCCTTCCTTTGGGGGGATTTGGAGAAGGATAAAATGAGCACGTGTGGTATTTGTTATTGCTGCAATCACTTCCCACTTCAGGAAAGGAGGCTCCAGCTTTCCTCTGGAGCCAGCCCACCTCTCCGATTTCCATCCCTAAGCCTGTCGGGCAAGTGGTCTCAGTCAGCCAATCAGAATGTTCCAGCTTTCTGTCCCGTGTTCTGGTTCAGGCAAGGGACCCAAGCTGGTCAAGGATGCTCGGCTTGGGGACTTTGGATACGGTGCCCAGCTCCCATGAAGCTCACCTCGCCTCGTGGGGGCAAGGCTGCAGAGCAAAGGCACTGGGAGCGGCCGAGAATCCTGGGACGGTATGCAAGTCCCTGGACCCAGCTCACTCTTGAGCCCTGCAGTTCATACATTCACTCAACAAACGTCTGTGGCGTGCTTGCTGTTAAGTCACAAATGAACCGTTTGTACTCACAACACTTCTGGCACCGCGCGCGCGTGTGTGTGTGTGTGTGTGTGCGCGCGCGCACATGCACGTGTTGGGGTTTCACAACAAACAATTCTCTCCAGGGACCAACTGGGTGTCCTAGAGTTCAATTCCGACACTACCCAGAGTTTGAGGCAGATACCAAAAATGTAAAGACTCAGTCCCACGAGACTGCCCCCACTTCAGACACTGGTTACAAGTATTGGGTCCCCAGGTGACCTATACTGTCTGACTTGGCCCCCAACCCCAGGCAGAGGGTTCTGACAATCCCCCTTCCCTTTCAGGCTTCACAATTAGAAGGACTCACAGAACTCAGTAACTTTGTCAGTTACTACTGTTAATTAGGCAGTTAAAAAAAATTTTTTTTAATGTTTTCTTTATGTTTGAGAGAGAGAGAGAGACAGAGTGCGAGTAGGGGAGGGGCAGAGAGAGAGAGGGAGACACAGAATCCGAAGCAGGCTCCAGGCTCTGAGCTGTCAGCACAGAGCCCGACGCGGGGCTCAAACTCACAACCCTGAGGGATCAAGACCCAAGCTGTGATCAAGAGTCAGAAGCTTAATGGACTGAGCCACCCAGGTGTCCCAAATGATGAAAGGGTATAAATCAGGAACAGCCTAATGGAAAAGACGCACCGGGCAAGGTATGGAGAAGGGGCGCGGGGCCTCTGTGTCCTCTCCAGGGGCGCCCCCCCACCTCCCTAGCCCCTTAATTGGCCATTGGGGATGAACTCGATCTCCAGCTCGGGCCTGTCTCCCCTCCCCGGAGGTCAGGGTCTGGGCTCAGAGTTCCCACCCTCTCGTCTTGGCTTGTTCTTTCTGGAGACCAGCCTCCATCCTGAAGCATACAAAACACACTCTTATCACTCCAGAGATCCCAAGGGCTTTAGGAGCTGTGTGCCAGGAACCCCAGGACAAAGATCTAATATTTCTTTTTTATTCTGTCAAACAGGAAATGAGCTGGGGGTGGTGGCGAAAAATTTTTAAAAATCCCTGCATTTGAGGAACTGTCATTGTATTGAAAGAGGTGCTTGTTTACGTTAAATAAGTAAATTGTATAGCAGTTTCCATTCTAGGGGCTATGTGGAGAGGGACACAGGGAAACGGACATTAGAAATGCTGCAGAGACCCTCTCTCTCTGCCCCTCCCCCGCTAGCACTCTGTCTCTGTCTCTCAAAAATAAGTAAACATTAAAAAAAATTTTTTTTAAATGCTGCAGAGAGGTTACAGCACTAAACGCGGGGAGGGGGGGAAGAGGGAAAGGGGGTCAATGAGAAGGTGAGATTTGCACAAAGAGGGCTTGAGTGAGAGGAGCCATTTGACTTCAGGCAGGGGGCATAGCCAGTGCAAAGGCCCTGGGGCAGGGGCCTGGTGTGTTCAAATAGCAGCAAGGCCAATGTGACTGCAGCATTGCAAATGTGGGGGGGCAGGTGGGAAGAGCTGAGGGAAGGGAAGTGACAGGTCAGATCATGCAGGACCTTGTGAGCCGCAAGGAAGACTTAGGCATTTACTCTGAGTGGGAGCCATGGAGGGTTCTGAGGAGAGGAGCAATCTGCCTCGACCCGGGTATTCACGGGCTCCCTATGGCTGCAGCAGGGAGGACAGATGTCTTACCTCGCCCCCCCCCCCGCCCCTCCCCACCACACAGCAAACTTTCCAGGGCCCAGGTGGTGGGCACGAACCTTGGCTAGAGGCAGCCCCAGACCCGAGCCTCCCTAGCCTGATTCAGGTTCTGCCAAAGAACGCACGGCCCTCGACCAAGCATCTACTTGGCTGATTCAACCCCTCTCTTCCTGGAAACCACGGTTCACTAATGGAAATACAAGAACAAGGGCATCTGGGCGTAACGACTTTATTTTCTCTTGTGGATAAAAGTGCTCATCTTGCCGAGTGGACATCAAAGAATCGCTTACACAGGAGAACCACATCCAGTAATACAAATGACCGAGCCGAGAGCTCCCTCCGTAGTGTTTCGGGATGGAGGCGAGAAGCCAGTTCGTGGCCTCTCCCGACTCCACTCTCCCCGGAGAAGCGGCTTTCCCGCAGCTTTTGGCTTCGTTTTGGTTTGTAAAACTCAACAAATCTCCGTCCCCCTGCCCGTGATCTTCGAGGACATTGGTTGCGGTTCCCCAGAGACCATCATGAGTTAAGCCTCCCACTTAAAATTATAAAATAACCACTTGCATTATTTTTAGAAGAAACAAGCCAAAAAAGAAAAAAAAAATCCCTCTCCTACATAAACCTAGTCTTGAGAAAACCCAGAGGCAGCTCGCTGTCTCAGGGCTACTCAAAGCTGAACTGTTCAAAAATCTTGTATAAACACAAGGCTTAGCCCACGTCAGGTATGAGACACAGGTTGGTCCGTCCCTTTAAATAATAGCAGTCTGGTCCACTGTTTTGTTTTTTTTGTTTTGTTTTCTGGCAGCAGCCTGAGAAAATGGGCTGGCCGACAGACTCTTGATAGACCATGATGCATCTTAACAGGCTTTTTCCTAGCTGCCTTAATTTCTCTTTTACGTTAGAGCAACTAACATTTTTGACTCCTGCCCCGAACGTTCCCCAAACTCGCTGTGCATGTTTCCAGAAACTTGTCCATCTCACCCCTGTTGTCTGATGTGTTGGCTTACAAAGCTACCCTCGCTTTGAAAGCTCTTAAGGGCAGCCCTCGGCAATGGGATGAACGGGGCCCTCTAGAAAGAAATTCAATCCACAGCTTCTACAAAGGGAAGAGCTAAGGTGAACTTCCAGCAGGAGGAGGCTGAGATCTTTAAGGCTCCAGGAAGTCATTTTGGTGTCAGGGGCTGGGAGTGGAATATGAACCATCTGTTCAGGCCATCCTCACAGGGCCTGTCAAGTTATGGGAGGTTAGTTGGTGTGCCGGGGCCCAAACAGGTGCCATGCCACCGGAGTTCGGACTTCGGGGGGTAGGAGGGACACTGAGTTGGGGTGGGGGATGGAGGTCAAGATGTAGATCCTCAAACTGCACATAACCTCCCAGCAGGAGCCTCCCTGCCGGCTGGGGACCCCAGTCAACCGGGGAGACTGATTTCCAGCCCGCCCCCATCAGCCTGCCCCTCCCGAGCCGTATCTGCGAATCCCATGTGGCAGTAACCATTGCACAACGCTGCCTTCTTGCCTCTTCTGCCCAACCCTAAAGCCTCCCTTACAGGGACGCCTCCATTTGTAGGAAGCATCACATCACTGGGCCCCACCACTGATGTGACTCAGGAAATGGACTCTGGGTCCTCAAGGGTCCTCGATGGGGAAGAGCCCAAGTCCTTCCGTCGGCAAGCCGCCAGCAAGAGCAGGCTATAGGAACATTGCTCAATTTCCTTTTCTAGCAGGATGTAGGATGTGGAAAGACCTTGCTTAAAATATCGCCAGGCAAACGGGGTCTGGGAGAGGCAGGTATGGGCAGGAGGGCCGGGGCTCCTGGCTCTGAGGCTAACTCCTGGCAAAAAGTCCCAGGCAGGAACACCCAGGGTTGGGCCATTCTCTGCCCAGCCTGATGCGGCCCATAATTCTAGAATTCAATCCAGGGATCAGAGATCTAGCGAATAGAGTAAAACAGTGGCAGGGTTGTGGGTGATGTGGAATACTGGGGAAGCTCAGAAGGCACTTCTGGGGTCCCTGAAGCCGGCGGGGGGGCGGGGGGTGCTGGGGGGTGGGGCTCTGACTTCCTGTCCCTTTACAATGGGAAAACCTGCTTTAATACTGTGTTCACAGGCAGCCGATCTGCAGGCCAGAAGGGAAGGGTCTGTGCAGGCCAGAATCACCTCCCCGCCTTGGAAGCTTGAGGTCTGAGGAGGTTCACGGGCAGGCTTGGGACCACCCCGGGGGACCCTGAGAAAGGAGTCGCCTTCCACATCTCCGAGGGTGAACTCTGAGGACTCACACCGCAGGAGGGAGAAGACGAAGGAACCAGCTTGTGAATTCCAGGCAACGCCCAACACAGAATGGACGAGAACAACAGTTCTAACCCAGAAGGCACTGTGGATGCCCCTCCTCCAGACGGGGTGGGACAGGCCGCCCTTGCTCCCTCCATTAAAATGGCTGAAAAGCAGCAGGCTCGCGCACGTCAACATCCCCAGACCCCTCCTGCCGTGCAGAGTCCCCAGGGTCTGGAGCTCATGATAAGGCTGCTTTGGGCAAGTTGGCGGCCATGGCGAGAAGATGAGCCATGCGGGAGTCGGGGCGGCTGACAGCTGGGGGGAGGGAAGGGGGTGCCCTGAGCTTAGCAACAGCCCTTGTGGCTCATGCCTCAGTCACAGTCCCTGCCGAGGCAGGAAGGGGTGGACAGGGGTTGGGGACCATCTCTAGCAGCTGCAACCGCTGGGCTCGGGGGGTGGGGTGTCCCCCAAGGCCGGGCCTTTCCCATTGCTGCCCGGGCCGGAGCCGGGTTCTAGGGACTCATTCATCTTCTCACAGATGATGTCCACCAGGCGCTCGAAGACCTGCTTCACGTTGATGTTCTCTTTGGCACTGGCCTCGAAGAACTCGAAACCTGGATGGACACAGGGTGGGAACACCAGTAAGCCCGGGCTGTGGCATCACCCAAACATGGCTTCCGAGCCCAGGTCTGCCCTTCGTGCAGCCGTGGGACCTTGGCTGAGCGCCTCGATCTCTCGAAGCCTCAGTTTGCTCATCGGTAGGATGGGAACGACACTGATGCTGATAAGACCTGTGGCAGCAGCCCCCCGTGGGGACTATTCGAAGGATCTCCTTGTCACAGAGCAGTGGCCGCAGGTGACGTTCTGGTGCCCAGCAGGCACGTAAGGAACGGCAGGTTTCCCAGGGGTGTATGCGATGCATACCGTTCTTGACCCACAAGCGCTTTTCTCAGCATTTTCTGCAAACTGACTCATTTCATGATGCTCTGAGGTTCGTGCTATCAGAGTCCGTTTTACAAATGAGGAAACCAAGGCACAGAGAGGAAAAGCCACTCATCCAAAGGTATCACACGGCAGAGCTGGGATTCACACCCAGGCCGCCTGGCTTAAGTGACGATAGTTAATAAACACGAAATACATATTTTGGATCTAAATAAATAAATGATGATAAATATCCCTACGGTCCCACCTTGGGCCTCAGGAGGGAAGACACGCTGGTTGAGTCCTTCTGGGGAGGAGGACACGAGGGTCCTTTATATATGTTTTTTTAACATTTATTCATTTTAGAGGAACGGAGACACAGAGCATGAGTGGGCGAGGGGCAGAGAGAGAGGGAGACACAGAGCCCGACGCAGGGCTTGACTCCATGAACCGTGAGATCATGACCTGAGCTGAAGTCAGATGCTTAAGCGACTGAGCCACCCGGGCCCCCCAGGATTTTTTTTTTAGGATTTTATTTTTAAAGTAATCTCGACACCTAACGTGGGTTCAAACTCACAAGTCTAAGATCAAGAGTCGTATGCTCTACCAATTGAGCCAGCCAAGTGTCCCTGAATATATTCTTAGCATCAGAGTGACCAGCATACCTGTCTCTCATTTTAAAAAAGCTTGTCCTGGGGCACCTGGGTGTCTCAGTCGGTTAAGCATCCGACTTTTGATTTTTGGCTCAGGTCATGATCTCACGGTTCGGGGGTTTGAGCCCCATGTCGGGCTCTGTGCTGACAGTGTGGAGCCTGCTTGGGATCCTCTCTCTCCTTCTCTCTCTGCCCCTCCCCTGTTCCCTCTCTCTTTCTCTCAAAATAAATAAATAAACTTGAAAAACAAAAAACAAAACAAAACGAAACTTGTCCTCCCAAACGTGGAAGGTAGTAAATATACTTTGGGGACTTGCCTGTCGTCCCTCGGCTACAAAAAGCGGGCTGTCAACCTAAAAATAAGGGCGTACACGTACATGACAAGGCTTCCCGCACCCCGGAAGGCTGGCTCAGGCTCTGCCTAGGGGTCCCCGATATGTCCGCACCCACCACACCTGCCAAGTTGGGCCAGGGATTCAAACACCCACCATACTATGCACACAGCACCGGGCAGACAGGCCTCTCTCCCAGCACCTGTCATGCCGCACCATAAAAATGTAATTGTAATTAAGTAATTACGTGTGTAATTACCCATTTACTATCCGTCTCCACTACTGGAATGCCAGCTCCAAGGTGGCAGGATTTCTGTCTGCCTCGTCTGGTGCCTGGCCCAGAGCAGGTGCTCAGAAACGACTTGCTGAATGAATGAATGAATGAATGGACGAACGAACGGATGACAGAGGCAGGGCATGAACTCAGATCTCTTACTCCAAGCCTCGTGATCATAAGTGTCACTCCACTGTCCTCCTAAGCAAGACTGGCATTTCCTTATCTGCGTGCAGCTCTGTCTCCAACAATCTTAGTTTTTTTTTTAATACTTTTTTTTGCTGATTATAAATATTCAGTGGAGAAATCCACTGAAGAAGTTAGAAACTCCTGAAAACTACCAAGACAGAAAAGCAACCTGTGATTTTATCATTGAGAAACACTTACTATTGGTGTCTTGATATTTAGCTTTCCGCTATATATTTTTTTAACATACACAATCATTGGGGTTGGGTCTGTAGGGGGTATGTGTGCGCGTGTGTGCGTGCTTGCGCGTGTGGTTTTTTTTATTTTTTTAAGTTTCGAGAGAGAGAGTGCAAGCAGGCGAGGGGCAGGGAGAAGAGAGAGGGAGAGAATCCCAAGCAGGGTCCGCGCTGTCAGCACAGAGCCCGACGCAGGGCTTGAACTCACGAACCGTGAGATCTTGACCTGAAGCGCAATCAAGAGTCGGACGCTTAACCGCTGAGCCATCCAGGTACCCCATGTGTGTATTCTTTTCCCTACAAAACTGGGGTCAAATTCTGCCTCCTGCTCTGTATGTCAATATTTGAAACTTAATGCCAGGTCAGACACCCCCCCCCCCCCCCCCCCCCCACTAGATGTTCTCTGCAAGGTGTGGGCAACATCCCCAAGTGTTCCAGCCCATGGCTGGGTCATAGCTGATTTTTCCCGGTTCCGGGCAAATTGGGGATCTAGTCCCCAGCAGCAAAAGCTGACTCCCCAGCATACCTGCAATTGAGAGCCAAAGCCAGAGCTCCCAGAAAACACAGGGAACAAAGGAGCAGGTTAAATGACACCGCGAGGGAGCAAAGAGGCAAATCTCAAATGGGAAATATTCCATAGAACAAAGACCCAGTTTGTCCAACAAACAGATGGTAAGAAGAAGAAAAAAAAAGAGAGAGAGAGAGAGAGAGAGGGGCGCCCAGGTGGCTCAGTTGGTTAAGCATCTGACTTCGGCTCAGGTCATGATCTCACGGTTTGTGGGTTTGAGCCCCACATCGAGCTCTGTGCTGACAGTTCAGAGTCTGGAGCCTGCTTCGGATTCTGTCTCTCTGCCCCTCCCCCGCTTGTACTCTGTTTCTCTGTGTCTCTCAAAAATAAATAAACATTAAAAAAATTTTAAAAATGACAGAGCTATAATTAAAAAGAGAGAGAGAGAGAAAACCATTCTAGTCCGGGGTCCCTGACCTTTCTCTGTAAAGGGCCAGGTAGTAACTACTTTAGGATTTGCAGGTTGTTATATGGTGCCTAGAGTTTTTTGTACAAAGCATCAATAATAGTTCACAATCACGCTAGCTGAGATTCCGATACATTCTACGTGCGTGCCCAGCTGTGATACCTGCTTCGTAGGTCGTAACTCATTTCACCCCTGCGACAACTTGACGCGGTGAGGCTGTTACTAAATCCACTTCACACAAGAGGGAGTGCGGGCCCAGAGGGCTGAAGTCACCAACACAAGAGCACAAACCGATCGAGAAATAATACGAGTTAACGTTCAAACGGGGCCAGTGTTGGCTTATTTCCTCTTTCTAACAGCGCTAGGAAGTAGGCACAGTTTTCACTCTGTTTCCCAGATGGAGAAATGGAAGCACAGAGAGGGGAGGCGATGTGTCCAAGGTCACACAGCTAGTGGGTTGCATAATGGGATTCTAGCTCCTGAGTCTGGGTCCTTAACCCACCTTCCCCTACAGTGGTCACACCATCTCCTGCAACGGGAGTCCTAGGCAGGGCTTAGGATACTAGAATACTCCAGGCCAGATTCCCTTTGAGCTTCAATTTCCATTTACCTGATTCAAAAAGGTAGGCTGAAAAAGCCCTCCTTCCATCCTAGCACCCTGGCCCCCAGTTCTCGGACACACACAGATCATTGCTGTGACTAGATCCTTTGTATCCTCCCGGAGTTTCTTCAGGCAAACATATATTCTTATTCTTACCCTTTTTATACACTAATGCAGGGGTCGGAAAACTTTAAGTCACAGGCAAGATCTGGCCCATTGCCTATTTTTATAAACAAAGTTTCGATGACAGTCACACTCACTCATTCAGTTATTTTCTGTGGTAGCTTTCAAACAGAGCTGAAGGGCGACAGAGACCCTAAGGCTGAAAATATTTCCTATCTGGCCCTTTAAGAAAAGATTGGCTGATGGGGCACCTGGGTGGCTCAGGTGTCCAAGTCTAGATTTCGGCTCAGGTCATGATCTCTCAGGGTTGTGAGTCTAAGCCCTGTGCTGGGCTCCACGCTGGGCTTGAAGCCTACGTAAGGGGCGCCTGGGTGGCTCAGTCAGTTAAAGCATCAGACTCCGGCTCAGGTCACGATCTCACAGTTCGTGAGTTAGAGCCCTGGGTCGGGCTCTATGCTGACCGCTCAGAGTCTGGAGCCTGCTTGGGATTTTGTGTCTCCCTATCTCTCTCTCTCTCTCTCTCTGCCCCTCCCCTGCTCACGCTCTGTCTCCCTCTCTCTCTCAGAAATAAATAAAACATTAAAAAAATTAAAAACAGGGGCACCTGGGTGGCTCAGTCAGTTAAGCATCTGACTTCAGCTCTGGTCATGATCTGGCGGTTCGGGAGTTCAAGCCCCGTGATGGGCTCTGAGCTGGCAGCTTGGAGCCTGGAGCCTGCTTCGGATTCTGTGTCTCCCTCTCTCTCTGCCCCTCCCCTGCTCACACTCTGTCTCTCTCTCTCTCTTTCAAGAATAAATAAAATGTAAAAAATAGATAAGTAAAGTTAAAAAATTACAACAACACTTGCTGAGCCGCTTGGAAGCAGCCAAGCCCATTTTTCCACAGTAAGCATATAGCCCAGAGATCTTGCCAGAGCAGAGCATAAGGAAAGTGCTCGCCCTTTTTCACAGCTGTGTAGTATTCCACAACGTGACTATACTTTATGTTTGGCTGCTTCCCCCACCGTGAGACATTTAAGAGGTTACCGAGGTTCCCCTCCTGCCAACAGCGCTGTGACTCGATATCCTTGCCACTTCCCACATGCGTGGGATGTTCGTAGGATACATTTCCAGGAGTGTTTTGCGGCAGGGAGGTGGGGAATACCTGTAACTGAATTCTCTGAAATTAAATGCGGAAGGTGCCGCACATAGGGGTATTTTTCCTAGCAGATCCTCAAAGGGCAGAGGGTTGCTGACTGCGGTTGGACCTGGAACCCAAGGGTGGGGACTGGGGTTTGGTCTGAGGGGTCCGGGGCCTGGGGCCCAGGCTGGGCACTAACCAAGGTCATCAGCGAGCCTCCGGCCGTCCTCAGTAGGCACAACACGCTCATCCTCCAGGTCGCACTTGTTCCCCACGAGGATGACCTGCGCGTTGTCCCAGGAGTAGGTCTTGATCTGAGTGGCCCTGTGGAGTGTGAGGGCCATTAGGCTAGAGATTGAGGGTCAGGGGGAGAGGGCGAAGGTCAGGGTGTCAGTGGTCAGCAAGCACTCACCAGTCCTGCACAGCGGTGAAGGACTCCTGGTTGGCAACATCATACATGAGCAGGAAGCCCATGGCGCCGCGGTAGTAGGCTGTGGTGATCGTGCGGTAGCGCTCCTGGCCCGCCGTGTCCTAGGAACACAGCAGGGTCAGGTGGCTAGGTGCTACTCTGCTCCCCACCCCACCCCTGCAGGGTCCCAAGCGGGGCACCACCCCGTGCTCATAGCCCCCGTCTGCCGGAAGACGTGGCCCTGCCCCTGAGGAATTGCCAGTCTGAGGCGTCAGTGCCTCCCACAGACTTGTAAGCTCCCTCGACCTCGTCTCCAAGACCAACGTGGCGACCAGGGTCAGAGAGCGCCGTCTTGACGCAGACACCCCGGGGCTCAATACCATGACAATCATCACCAGCAGCCTCGCTGGGAGGGAGAGCATCTCCGAAGAGCGCAGAGGCTCAGCGGGGGGACCCTGGGCTCGCCCCTGCGATGGTACCCAAACCTCTGCCCCGCTGGTCACCAGGACATCTAACCTGCCTTGGATGGGCACTGTCTGCCCCTCAGACCCCACAGGGCAGGGCCTACCCCCCTCATCTTGATGAATTCATCTCATAGATACAATCCCTCTCCTCTTCACCTCTACCCCAAGCCCCCTCCCCAACCCTGGACCCCTCCCCACAGCCCCACACCCTATCATGGACATTCTCGGAGGAACCCCAGGCCCTCCCGGCCCGCAGACAGACTCCTGTCCTTTGCCACAGACCCACAACAGCCGCCTGGCCCACCCATATCTGCAGCTTGATCCTCTTGTCATGGCGATAGACCGTCTTGACCTTGAAGTCAATGCCCACGGTGCTGACGAAGGCAGGTGTGAAGGAGTCGTCCGCGTAGCGGAACAGGAAGGACGTCTTGCCCACGCTGCTGTTGCCGATAAGTAGCAGCTTAAACATGTAGTCGAAGTTCTGGTCTGCTGCATCCCGTGGGCCTGTGGGGGGGTCTCCGGCCGATGCCATCTTGGCAGAGAGCCTGCTGGGGGCGGAAGGGCTGTCGCCCTGCAGAACAATAAAACACCAGGAATGGCTGCGGTGTATACACCAGACCTGGATTCAAATCCTCCCTCTGCCACTTGGAGGCTAAGCGGCCTCCGACGCGTCACTTGCTGTCCGTGGGCCTCAGTGGCCTCGTCTGGAAAATGGGGACGTTTATCAAGTGCAAGGGCCCAGGTTGTAGGGGGCACATGGAGTGCCTCCTGTGGCCACTGAGGAACCAGACCCCGCAGAAGGCGCAGGTGTGGACTTTGCCCCACAGTGAGCAGCTGGCTGGGCCCAGGTGTGAGATGGGGGGGG